CCGGCCCGACAGGTGCGTTGTTGAAGGAATCTGAGGTAAGTTTCGTTGCCCTTTCACCGATGCTCACTCATCTTTGTGACATGTATTGCACCTGAATCCATCCAATGTTGTGAAGCTGCCGAATGCGAGTGAGCTCCGTCACCAGTGGATGTCGGGGATGTTCAGGGGTGCTTTGCCATCCGTGCGCTGGTCCTTGTCGCCGATTGCAGCTGCAGCAGGGCAGCTTCTCGGGTCCTGCGGGTCTTGGACACGGGCGGGTGTGTATTTTTCTGCGGGGTGCCGATGACGGCCACTGAGGGGCACTAATTGCCCAATTGCTCGGGCTTGTGTGACGCTCGGATTTGAGACAAAAATTTCGGATCGCACCACCGTTGCACTTGTCGTCCTTTATTTACTGTAAGACTCACCGGCAAGACTACTAAAAAGCCAATTTCCTTAAAAGTCGGCGTTGAACAGTCGAACAAACGATTCCAAAAACTCTATTTTACAGAAAGCCCTCGCCCGAGGCAAACTGGCCCACCATGTCTACCTTTGGCCAACACTTTAGAGTCACCACGTATGTTTTCCCTTTCAACCACCTACTCACCCTCGCCCATGAACTAATAGTCGCATAGCTATGGCGAGTCCCACTGCCGCTCCGTCGGCTGCATCGTCGACGGATGCCCGCCTGGCATGGAACTCACCGAGGAGGATATCCAGCCCCAGATGACGCGCCGCAGACCGGGACAGAGCAACATCACGACCCCGCGAAACGAGAAGGACCGAGTCTTGATCCAGTCGGGCACCGAGTTTGGCATTACCCTGGGCACACCGATTGGCATGATGGTCATGAACGAGGATCAGCGGCCGAAGGGTAGGTTATTCAAGAGAGATCGTCGCTGCCAAAGCTAATGAGTCATCTCGTCACGTCCAGACTACGGTAACTCGACCATGGACAAGTTCCCGAGACCCAGCCACGCCGACTGGACCTACCTAGAGAAGTACGGCGTCAAGGCCAGCAGTGGAGGAGGCCGAAGCAGCGCCCGCGAGACAATTGGCCGGGTTGCCGCTGGCGCCATCGCCGAGAAATACCTTCGCCTCGCCTACGGTGTTGAGATCGTCGCCTTCACAAGCTCCATCGGCACCATGCACCTTTTCCCGCCCACACCCGAGCACCCGAGCCCGAGCACAAACCCGGCCTTCCTGTCGCTCGTCAACACGATAGACCGCAAGACTGTCGACAGCCACCTCCCCGTGCGGTGCCCCGACGAGGCCGCCTCCAAGAAGATGGTAGACTACATCTCCGACTTCAGAGACCGCAATGACAGCATTGGCGGCACCGTGACGTGCGTCATTCGCAACGTCCCCAGCGGTCTCGGCGAGCCCTGCTTCGACAAGCTCGAGGCCATGCTCGCCCACGCCATGATGAGCATCCCAGCAACCAAGGGCTTCGAGGTCGGCTCCGGCTTTGGCGGCTGCGAGGTCCCGGGCTCCACACACAACGACCCCTTTGTCTCGGCTGCCGATGTCGAGCTTCCCTCGGGCGTCGCCGGGAGCGGAGCCATGAGAAACGGACAGCCGCGTCCCAAGCTGACCACCAAGACCAACTACTCTGGCGGTATCCAGGGCGGTATCTCCAACGGAGCGCCCATCTACTTCCGCGTCGGCTTCAAGCCCGCCGCCACCATCGGCCAGGAGCAGACAACTGCCACCTATGACGGTGAGTCGGAGGGTGTTCTCGCTGCCAAGGGGAGACACGACCCCTGCGTGGTCCCGCGCGCCATTCCCATCGTCGAGGCCATGGCGGCGCTGGTCGTGATGGATGCCGTGCTCGCCCAGCAGGCAAGGCACACAGCTAAGAGTCTGCTGCCGCCTTTGAGGCAGACGGTCGAGTCGGCCAGGCCGGCTGGGAATGGCGTGACGGAGCAGGTCAAGACCCAATAAAAAGAACATAGATGTACAAAGGTGATTAAATGGCTTTGCAATACCCAATTGTGTTTTTCGGTTGCACATATCTCCATGAATTGTTTGTTCCTGGGTGAGATATCAGCTACGAAAGCCAGTCCAACTTGGTTAAAAAAAAAAAAAAAACAAAAAAAAATAACGAATCTGGCTTGCGGTAATGATATTCGGTGTGCGCCTACATATCGATTAAGTCTAAATGAGTAGCGTTTTAGTATCGCAGTTTAAAAAGCATCCCCAGCACCACATAGCCTAGGTCTAGGTCTCAAAACACAAATCCAACTGCCCTTTCTTCCCGTCCTCCCATCGTTCCATCTGAACAATAACCTACACTACCACTCCCCCCCTTCCCACCCATACCCCTCCGTCTCCACATCCCAATCCCTCTCCAGCCTCCACGCATCCTCCCCCTTGACCCCCATCCTCGCCACGTCGCACCCGCGATGGCCCCATTTGTCGGCAAACACGGCCCGACCCGTATCGATCATCATCTGCACGCCCGCCTCGAACCCCTCGGCGTCGCGCGCGAACGGCTCCCCCTGCCCGCCGCTCTGGCGCACCTGCCACGTGTTCCTGCCCCCGCCGTCCTCTGCGTATTTGGCCTCCTCCATCCGCAAGCCGACCTCGACGAGGTGCGCCCACGTCTCGCCGCGGCGGTCGACGCGCGCGCGCCGCTGGCTGTCGAGCTCGACCTCGTGCAGCTTCTGGCGGATGTAGTCCATCCCGTTGGGCGCGGGGGCGGGGTTGGGGTCTGGTTTTTGCTGGTGGGCGTTATTGCTGTCACCATCGCCACCGCCGCCCATGCTGTTGAGGATAGACGAGGAAGGGTAAGATTCCTCTGACGGCCCCGGATCATCGGGAAAGGCAGCATGCGACCCGGGGATGCGCAACAGGGCGCCGACGTCATCCAAGACAGTGGCGACGTCGTAGATGATGCCGATCTCGCTCTCGCCCTGCCAGTAGCCGGCCCACATGAGGCGCGCGTACATGTCGCAGTCGGAGGCGTAGTAGGGGATGTGCGTGTCCCAGCCGCCGACGGCGAGGATGGCGTCGCGGTTGACGAGCGTCAGGTGGTCGTAGGCGAAGAAGTGGTGCGCCCACCTGGGCGCGGTCGGGTGGCGGAGGTAGCGCAGGAGGCCGGCCGCGCGGGTGTAGAGGGTCGACTGGTCCTTGTCTCGCTCGGGGCTTTGGGCTTCTTGGAGAAGGGGGAGGGAGGGGCCGGGTCGTCGTCGGGCTGGAGGGAGAAGACGAGGACGTCTTGGTGGGACCAGAAGTATTCGGTCCAGTTTTGGGAGAGGGCGGTCCTGTGGTGGGGAGTTGGTGTGCTGTTGAGTTTGTTTGAGGGAGAGTGGGAGTGAACGAACCAGGCATAAAAGTTTTGAAGTTGTGCAAATGTCAGAAGTGTTGGTGTCTGTGGTGGTCGTTGGTCAGCTTTCCCTTTTCCTCCATCTCAAAAGGGGCAATAACAAACACAGAAGAATACTCACGACAATCACATCCACCCCCAGCATCGCCAGCTGCGTATGGTTCAGATAAAACGGATTCTGCAGCGTCATCATCCCATCGCGATTCGCATACATGACACCCGTATTCTCAATAATATGGATCTCCTCGGGTGGCCATCCGGCCGCAATATAGCTAACGACACACTGCAGCAGCTGCGGCCAGTTGCGTGTGAAGCCAATCAGCAGGGGCGTCGCCCGGTTGTAGTGTCTCCATTTCCTCGGGGGCGCCCGGTTCGCTTTGGGAGCCTGCAGCAGGCTCGGATCTGGTGGTGGGTTCCGCGAGAGCAAGGGGAAAGGGTCGGGCACGGGGGACCTGGCTCGCGAGCAGGTTTGTATGGCGGCTTGGGTGCAGGTGCTTCGTCGCGTCCGGACCAGGAGAAGAATTCTCTCTCAAGAACGTGCTGCGGGATCTGGATCTTGGCTGCCTTGTTGGAGGCCACTCTGCTCAGCTCTGGAGGCGGCTGGTTTTTGTGCCCTGGACCTGAGTTTGGGTCATTCTTCTTGTCTGGTGTGGACGAGGGGGGCTTCTTTGTCTTGTGTTTCTTGGACTCTTGTGGAGATGATGACACTGGTGGTCCTGGTGGAGATGGTGTTTTGTAGATGCCTGGAGGTTTGTTCCCCTTGAGTGGTGGCAGAGGATGGTTGGTGTTACTACGCAGCTGTGAGGACCAGTTGATGGCCGATGTGGGAATTATTGAGAAGTGGTCCCCATCACCTCGGGCGCCGCCATCGTGCAAGATATGAGGCTCGTAGGTGTAGATGAAGGCGATGACGGCGCTGAGAAGCAGAAGCCGGTACCTCGAGCGGACAGATACATGCACTATCCTCGCCATTCTTGGTGTGAGGAAGAGACAACTTTAATCACTTCACAGCGTTATAGGTGAGATAAAGAAGAAACAAGTCCCAGCAGAAATAAAACGAAAGCTCTCAAGAGCAACAAAGCATGCTTCGTGTTTGCCAAAGCATATCATTTTCACTACATGACGAATCTGTGCATGCTGCGAATGAATTTAGCAATGGCTTGGACCGTAATAGAAGTGATCCATGTCCAATAAACTTTCACCATCAAATATGGTGAAATGAGAAGTTGTAGTACGGCCAGATAGATGATCGCCGTTACTTTGGACTTTCTCCCCCGAGTACCTGGAACTGGTTTGTATTTTGTAACACGCCAACCACCACAGCTTGGTCAACGCAAGACGCTTGCGATTGAAGAGACTTCGTAATTGGATTTTCTTTAGCAGCTGTTGTCATAGTCTACAGCCTGGCAAAGCCAGTGCACCAGCCGTTACTGATCAGCGCAACCGTTTTGTCTAACCTCAACTCTAATCTTTTTCCAGCTCAGGAAATCCCTCGCCCGGCTACAACACCAGCCCAGCGCACTGGAAACTTTGGCCGTCCGCGGAAAATGTAGTCCAGTAAAGAACACTAGACTTTAAAAAAAAACTAAGTTGCCATGGTGAAAGAGAGTTAGTCCGGATGTTGACAGCATCTTCCAGCAGCTTGCATCATAGGTGCTGCATCACGACGCACCACACATCAACCAATGAGAAAGGTTAGATGGCCGAGCGGTCTAAGGCGCCACGTTAAGGAGAATCCTTAATTCATTCAACAGTAGTTTCCGTGGTCCGAAAGGGCGTGGGTTCGAATCCCACTCTAATCAGATACTTCTTTTTGATGGTGGTCTCTCGTGTCCTTCTTTTGCTCTCGAATATTCCATGACAAACAATTTGAAAAAGTCGAGTAGATATTACAACCACGACGACAAAAGGCTAGCTGGCACAGTGATGTGATAATATTTTATTTAATTACTCCCAGTCAGCCGGCCAGCCACATATGTAAGAAGGCAGCCACCCAAATGTACGGTTTCTATAAACGCTCCTTCTTTTAGATCCGGCAATCTCTCCGCGCCAAGCAGACATACAAGAATGGGAATATGAACGGTGAATAAGAAGCAAATTTGTAACATATAAAAAAGAGAAGTATGCGCACAGAGGAAACGAAAGGCGTGTTTGTACATATAACGAAGTAAAGTGCCAAATGGCAAGCAAAGCACAAGCTAAATAACAAAAAAAAAAAGAAGAAACATGAATCGAATGAAGAAAAATTGTAAAAACACGAAGAAATAAATAATATGACGAGCATAGGTTTTAAAAAAATAAGTAACAGCGGGTTGAAGAGAAGAAGATGTGCCACGCAAAACCACCGCCCAGCCCATGGGCTAGATTGCTCTGCTCGCTCATTTTTTTGCAAAGCAAGCTACGTACCCATAAGTCGAAATATTTTCCTCCGTATATATTTTGCTTCCCACCTTCCCGGTGTGAATAAAGTCCTTGGGTCGGGGCGGACGCAGACGGCGCCTGCCCTACCGACCCTGCCCGTCCATCCTTCCCTCCCTCCGTCCCTCCCTCCCTCCGTCCCTTCGTCCCTCCGTCCCTCCGTCCCTCCGTCCCTCCGTCCCTCCGTCCCTCCCTAGATCACTCGGCAAACCCATCGACCCTTGCCGAGTGATTGAGACAAAAGAAAACCTCCCTGGACACAAGTTTGTCAAAACAGAGAGGTAGAACTAAGAAGACGGGGGAAAAAGAAAACCCTGCTTGTGCGCATAGGTAGGTATGTAGAAAGGTACCCATCTAGCCAGCCTATAGGGGCAGCAGGTATGTAATGACGACCGTAGCCGAAGGACGTCGACCTTTTATCCAGAGTAGTGACAACAACAACAAGAATAGTAGTAACAGCAACAGCGTCGGCGACACACACACATATAAACCTCCTATTCTTGTGTGTGTCTCTCTCTGCTCCACCACCCTACAAAAAGAGACACAATGAGCGCGTGTGTGCGCTAGTGTGGTATATCCTGAACAAAAAAAAAGGAAGAACAAACAATAAAAAATAATAGGGGGAAATCTCGCAATTAGTAAGTGTGTGTGCGTGTAAAAAGAAAAAGAAGAACACATTGCCACACAACCGTAACAAACAACAACTCAACTACTCCTCATCCAAACTCGTCATTATCCCATTCCCCTTGCTGCTCTTCTTTCCCAGCCTGAGGATACTCAACCTCTTCCTAACACTTCCCACGTGGAGCATGCCTCCCATACCTCCTCCTCCTCCTCCTCCACCACCATTATGGTCAGAAGAAAGAAACATCTTCTCCTTGTCCAGCGCCGACATGTCAGAACTCTCGCGCGCCCCCCCCGAGTCGGTCATCCAGTCGGCCCCACTGTTAGCTCCGCCACCGCCACCGCTCACGTCCATGCCGTTAACCTGAACACGCCTGTCAGACGAGTGGCTGCGGAAGAAGCTCCTCCTATTAGAGTTGTCCTTGCTCATGCTGCGACTCCGACTGCTCGCGTCCCCAGACTCATCCTCATGTGCCTGGTGGTGGTCATTGTTGGTATGGTGGTTGGCGACATCTCCATTGATCTGCGGAATCGGTGGGGAGACCGGGGAGTAAGGAGATGAAGACTCTGGCTTTGGTGGTGCTTGTTGCGACTGTTGCTGCTGCTGCTGCTGTTGCTGCGGGTGGTCCTTCTTACGGCCACCGAGAAAGCTCAGCCGAGCGCCGCGACCATTGCGTAAAGAGACGGGTTGGATGATCGATACTTCTTCCGACTTTACACCATTCGTCAGCAGTGGGGAGGTGGTGCTATTGGTCTTATGGTGCTGTGGTAGAGCTCCAATGGTCGAAGGCGGTGAACGGGGCCAAGTCGGCGACTGTGCTGTATTGGCATCGCGCAATGGCTGCGCTGGGGTAAAGACAGAAATTTCTGGGGCGAAAGTCGTCTCGAAGACTGAAAGAGGGGGAGGCGTCATGTCAGCATCGGCCCCGCATTGCTGAGATAACTTCGTTTGCAGAGTACTCACATTTCTGTAGATCCTCAACGTGCTGGGTGAGAATCTCCTTTCCACTCTTCATCAACGTCGCTAGACATCTCTTGATCAGGATAGCATGATCTACTAACGCCATCTTGATCGCCGTCTCCTGCGCATCTATCTCGGGAGCTTCGAGCTCGTCCTCGTCCTCATCTTCCAACCCGCTCTCATCCAGAGCCGATGACGCGTTCCTCCCGTGAGACGACATACTGGGGACGAGCTGACGATAGCACACGACGCTACTGTCTGAATTTGGATTTACGCTAATTCTGACAGCGTCGAGGAGCAGCTGCGCGGCATCATCACCAGCCTCGCCATCAGCCACCTTCCTCTCCACGGAGGTCATCTCGGCCGTCTTCCGCACAATGCGCTCCAGCGCCGTTTCCTTAGCCGAGAGGCGCACCTCGTGAACCGAGATGATCTCGCTCCGCCGCAAAATAGTCGGGAACGGCTCAGCGGTTGTGTAGATGATCTTTTCCGCGTAATGCTCCGTGACGGGCCCGCTGGTATTCCTCCTTAAGCTGACGGAGAAGGTCTGTGGATGGTTCGAGACGAGGTAATCCCTGATGATCTGTGGCACACGTGCGCGTTGATACACTTGATGGGTCAAATCGCGGTGTGGGCCGAGCGTAGAGATGACGAGGAACTGGCCCTCCACATCGTCAACATGCTCGTTGGTGACGATCTGGGCAGACGGATACATCTCCTGCATGCGATCGGTGAAGCCTGCCGTGCGTTCTGTGGGCGACCCCTCAAAGACAAACTCCTTGTCACGCATGCTAGACGGGAAGCCATGGCCCCGGAAGATGACCTTGAAGTACTTGGGAACCAACTTATCGCTTTTGGCGATAGTCTCGTAGATTGTGGCGATGGCGCGCTCGGTACGGGCAAGCTTAGCAAAGTCAAAGATATTGGTCTCGTACTGCAGTTGTAGCTCCTTGTAGGCAGCAAGAGCGCTGCTCCACGCCTGGCCGTCTTCAAAGTGCTTGATCATGTCGAAGTAAATCCTCTCTTTTCTCTCAAAGTGGGATTGTGTGGGGAATTCTGGGTCTTGAAGAGCGGGTGTGGTCTTGATGGGGTCCCAGTCATACAAGTCTGCATGAAGTCGAAGGGCCAGTCCCGCCTCGGCGTGATTTCGAGCATCTGCTTGGAGGTTCGCGAGCTGGTGGACATAGCGGACAAATATCTCCTCCTTCTGCATATCGCGAAGGAACTCCATCAGTCGCAGACGGTGAATAAGATGGGAAGCTTCTCCAGAGCCATCGCCGCTGTGAACTGCAACCAGCAGATCAAGGAACTCATCGACGGTGCCCATAAGCTCCCTAAGCGCAGAATAAAGTGGCTCGTCTGGTATCCTCGAAAGCGGTTCGAAGCGAGCAAGCAGCTCGCGCACAAACAGCTTCTGTAATATGCTCTCAGTCAAAGGTTTTGTCTTGAAGTAGACATCCAAGCAGTCGATCATCTCCGTCTGGATGACGGAGAGATCCTCACTAAGGGTCCACTCACTGACAATCATGGTCTGCAAGACCTCGACTGCCATCCGTCGGAGACCCTCATGCACGCTGAGGCATAATTCAACAATTGGCCCAACAAGCGTGGGTACGTATTGAACCTGGTAGCCACCCATCTTTTGAAGACCGTAACGAGCACGCTCATCCATACTCGTCTCCCAGCCAATGGCCTCCCACGTCCTCCTCAAAAGCTCGGCACCGTGTTCCCTGACGTCGCCGGCTATCTTCCAAACAGCCCTCCTTTTTTGTTCAGGAAATGTCTCCAGAGCAAGTGAGGAGCTCCCGACGAGTTTGAGCAACGTGGTGAAAAACATCTTCCACAGCTCAGTGTCAAAGTTTTCAGCTTCGTCCGGATGGGGGAGAAACGACTCCAACAATATGCTGGCAAGGTATTGCAGCGTCCGCATGGTCGATTTATGGTGGAATATATGTACACTCAGCCAATTGGAAGGGAAAGTTTCGCCCTGCAGGATGCTTATATGAACACGAAGAGAGTTTTCCACAATTATGTTCAGGTCGTCTTCCGCTAGCTCAAGTTGCATCCCGCTCGGAGAGTTGGACAAGGCAGACAGCACGGCTGAGAGCTCGATGAGGGCCTCATCGAACATGGCATCCTCTGTAGTCGGCTTGGTGGGGAAGGGATAGGTCGTAGGGAAGAGAAGCGATAGCTTGTTCTTGGGCTTTTGCTGAACAGCTTGGAGGGTGAGATATGACTGGATAATCTTGGGAATGTAGTCGGGGATCTCGGGACCCAGATGGTCCACCTGGCTGGCGAGGACCGAGCAACAGAGACGAACTTGTTCCTTCCATTGTTCAGTCACCTCGTTGGTGTGGCCCCAATGGGGCGCAATCCACCTCACGGTATTAGCGCTGAGGGCAGACCGTTGTTCTGGATGCGAGAAGATGCCCAGTTTCGCGTAGTTAATGATCAAAACCAACTTGTACAAGACGAGCTTCCCCTTGACCCCCGAGCATGAGTCCATGAAGTCAATAGCAATGTGTAGGATCTCCTCGGTTGTCAAAAGACCAGCAAGTTCTGGTAGCCAGGTGTGGAAATGCTGGACGGCTAGCGTCTGGCTTCCGACCAGCACAGGCGCCGTATTACGCATCATACCATCAAGTGCTTTGAAGATGCTTCGCAAGTCGCGTGTAAAGCCTGGGTTGGAGCTGGTGATTCCTATTCCTGCTTCTTTGACTTTTTGCTGACCCCTGGCATGGGTGATGAACTTGAGAATGTGTCTTATAACCTTAAAGGTAGCACGCAGCTTCCTTGCCG